CAAGAAAAATACAGAAGTATCACAAACATATTTTGTAAACAGTCTATTTTATTTAGCACAAGCTTTACAAATGTCCAGATGTACAATGAGAAAAAAAGCACATACACACAAACACACACAGATTCAAATAAACAGTACTAATTCCTGGGGCCGGGCACGGTGGCTCATGCCTGTAATCCCAGCACTTTGGGAGGCCAAGGCAGGTGGATCACGAGGTCAGGAGATCGAGGCCTGCCTGACCAACATGATGAAATCCTGTCTCTACTAAAAATACAAAAATTAGCCAAGTGTGGTGGTGCACGCCTATAATCCCAGCTACTTGGGAGACTGAGGCAGGAGAATCACTTGAACCTGGGAGGCAGAGGTTGCAGTAAGCCGAGAACGAGCCACTGCACTCCAGCCTGAGCGACAGTGAGACTCCGTCTCAAAAAACAAAACAAAACAAAACAAAACAAAACAAAACAAAACAAAAAAAACAGTATTAATTCCCTTGCATACTGCTGCACCAGGCTGAATCTTGTTGTGAAACTAACATATTGCCATTGTCTCTTGTATTCGAACCTATCATGAAATCACTTTAAAAGGTATTAAGAGCTGGGTGCAGTGGCTCAACGCCTATAATCCCAGCACTCTGGGAGGCTGAGGCGGGCTGATCATGAGGTCAGGAGATCGAGACCATCCTGGCTAACATGGTGAAACCCCGTTTCTACTAAAAATACAAAAAAATTAGCCAGGCGTAGTGGCATATGCCTGTAGTCCCAGCTACTACAGAGGCTGCGGCAGGAGAATGTCTTGAACCAGGGAGGCAGAGGTTGAAGTGCACTGAGATCGTGCCACTGCACTCCAGCCTGGGCAAAAGAGTGAGACTCTGTCTCAAGAAAAGTTATTAAGTAGGCTTCTGAGTATTTATTTTATATGTAGCAACTTGGTTAAATGTTTATTAATTCTAATATATATTTATCATCTTTACTAGAGTTTCAGGTATATAATAATCCATAGAAATTATATACATATATTATTTTCCTAACTGTAATCAATTTCATTTTTCATTTTCCTGTCTTCTTGTACTTATCTAACAAAACAAACAGCAATAAAAATTATTAAATGAGTATTCTTGATTTTGTCCCTTCGCTTTTTTTTTTCAGACAGGGTCTCATTCTGTCACCCATGCTGGAGTACAGTGGCACGAACATGGGTCACTGCAGCCTCAACCTCTTGAGCTCAATATCTTCCCACCTTGTCCTCCCAAAGCGACTGGATTACAGGCATGAGCCACTATGCCTGGCCTGTGCCTTCCTGAAGAGAATAGCACCAGTATTTCACCACCCAATGTTCGCTTTTTTTTAAAAATAATTACTCACATATTAAGAAAGAGGGAAGAGAACTATAACCTAGATGCATGCTTTCTGACATACAACCAAATGGAATCACATGCATGAAAGGGTTAGTTAGTATAGGCCAGGCACGGTGGCTCATGCCTGTAACCCCAGCACTTTGGGACGTCAAGGTGGGTGGATCATCTGAGGTCAGGAGTTCGAGACCAGGGAGGTGGAAGTTACAGTGAGCCAAAATCGCACCACTGCACTCCAGCCTGGGCAACAAAGTAAAACTCCATTTCAAAAAAAAAAAAAAAAAAAAGAGTTCGGTATAAAATATCAAATTATAAACTGACTAGCATAAAATTATATAAAATTTTTATCTTCGATTATTAACCTTTAGTTTTTACATAACAGGAATTACAAAAAGACCAAAAAGTTGGCCTGGACATGGTGGCTCACCCCTATAATCCCAGCACTCTGGGAGGCTAAGGCAGGTGAATCAATTGAAGTCTGGAGTTTGAGACCAGCCTGCCAACATTGTGAAACCCTGTCTCTACTAAAACTACAAAAATCAGCTGGGTGTGGTGGCATGCACCTGTAGTCCCAGCTACTCAGAAGGCTGAGGCAGGAGAATCGCTTGAACCCAAGAGGCAGAGGTTGCAATGAGTGGAGATCATGCCACTGCATTCCAGCCTGGGCGAGAGAGTGAGGCTCGATCTTAAAAACGAAACAAAAAAAAGAAGTTGGACAAAAACAAGAGCTTCTAAATAAGAACAGTATTATAATATAGAACACAAAAGTACAGTTGTAGGAAAAATATTGTTAAAAATCTGGTGATTAGCATAAGATTAAGAGCTGTAGTAGTATTAGGTTGGTGCAAAACCACAATTAATTTTGCACCAACCAATATTTTTAAATAGTGCTATAACACTTAAAGACGATGTTTCTATATCTAAGGAAAATAACAAAATAATTAGATAAAAGATTATACTTCACAAGAAAAAAATTAGGTAGCAAGCAAACACACAGTTCATATGGAAGCAACGAAATGAAAACAGTGGTCTAGAGTCTCTGGAGATGTGTGGCATCCTTAGTTTTTAAAAAATTTCTCACAATATCTGAGGTATAATGCAGCTTAACCCCACAATTCCAGCTCTTTTTCCTCTCAGTTCTCTGTTGATAATACTCAATAATCAAAAATAAGCCTACTAGAAGAGGCTGTTGGATCCTTAGTCTATCTAAAGAGTTCTCTGTTGGGGAGAGCAGGGACATGAGTCCACTGTCTCTTGGAACTGTGAAAGTGTTCAGGGTCAAAAACTATAGAGTTTCATCCCCCCACAACACTGGTAAACAGTGACAAAGAAAAGCTAAGCCTTTTGCAGAAGAAACTGTTGAGCATTTCCAAATTCATTTCCACAGTTATGCTTAACTAATTTCAATTTCCATGTTAAAATATATATATAATTCCAATCAGGATCCCAAAGTTTATATCAAATAAATACATAAAAATTGCCAAGAAATTTCCAGGAAAAAAATGATGGGAGACTTGCTTAAAAAGATATCATAAACTGTGCTTTTTATTTGTAACTTGAAGGACAAATGCTTGAGTTGATGGATACCCCATTCTCCATGATATATTTATTTCACTTTGCATGTCTGTACCACACTATCTCATATACCCCGTATGTACACCTACTATGTACCCACAAAATTTTTTAAAAATTAAAAAAATTCTTAAATGTAAAAAAAATTAAAAAAAGATATTAACATGTACTCTTAGCCACTATTACTGAAGCAGTATATTTCTGAGAGAGAAAAATCACAAAATGAGTAAGAAAACAAAAAATGCAGAAACAGGTCATAATCAATTTAAAAGGTACCATTTGTGTTTCGTAGGAAAAACATGAGGTCATGCCATAGTCCCCTGTAGTTTGACTACCTGACATCTGGAGACGGTACCCAAAAATTCCCTGTGAAACAAAACTTCTCCCACTTTTAGTCATGTGGTTGAGAGGGACTTAATCCCATGCCCATCCCAGGGGTAAATACAAACTAGTTTAAATTAATCAGCTTTTACACACACACACACACACACACACACACACACACACTCACTCTCTCTCTCTCTCTCTCTCTCTCTCTCCACCCCAAGTCCACAGTGACAGATTCGTGAACAGATTCATGACTTCATCAGAGCCAACAATCTACAGAGCTATTTACTAGGGCATATGGGGGAAAAAAAACTTGTTCTCCAGGGAATCTTCCAAAAGGGATCCTTTTTCTTCCCTTGTGTAGTATTAGGATGCAATGCCTAAAACATTAGTCATTGTGTGACCACAAAGGAAGGATCTAGAATCAGAATGGAACAATACAAAAGACAGACTAAGGAATGATACAGTACGGATCATAAGGAGAAATCCAACACCAAAAAGGGGCAGAACTGAGAAAAGTCAGGAAGTAATTTTTTTTTTGAGACAGTCTTGCTCTATCCCCTAAATTGGAGTGCAATGGCATGATCACAGCTCACTGCAACCTCTGCCTCCCGAGTTCAAGTGATTCTCATGCCTCAGCCTCCCGAGTAGCTGGAATTACAGTTGCCCACCACCACATCATGCTAATTTTTGTATTTTTAGTAAAGATGGGGTTTTGTCATGTTGGCCAGGCTAGTCTCGAACTCCTGACCTCAGGTGATCTGTCCACCTCAGCCTCCCGAAGTGCTGGGATTACAGGTGTGTGCCACCGTGCCCAGTCAAAATTTTTAAAGTAGTATTACTTTTGCCACTGTATCAAGCCTTTTGTTTTGATTTTTGGAGGAAGTGGTTCTTTATTTCAAAAAGACACTTGTCAATACTCAATATCAAAAGAGTTGCACTACTGATTTCTCTTTCTCCCAATCAGCCCCAAAGAGACCACATTGAAGAAGAACGCATTTTAAACCAGTAAGCTACAGGATGTACATCTAACAGACCTCATTGAAATCTTACCAGAAAATGGGGGTTGGGTAGGGAAAGAAACTTTAAAAGATCAGCAAACTGCCAGCCCACACACTGTAGAGGCTGTCACAACCAGACAGAGTGGCTAGGGTGCCACAAACCCAAAGAAGCAAAGCTTCAAACTAATAAAAAATTTTTATTTTTTATTAAAAATAAACCCTCCCCAACCTCCCTCCCCCATCCCCACTTCCCTCCTTTTCTCTCCCTCTTTCCTTTTTCTTGCTGATTTTATGCAAAGGGCTGGCATTCTGATTGTTCCATTTTCAGATTTAACTCTTATTTTAATAAAGTTTTCAAGCAAAAAAAAAATTTTGAAGTTTTGTACATAGGCTATTCAAGATTTCTCTAGCACTGGCTGATATAAAGCACAATGAGATGGCACTTTTAGAGAAAGCAGCTTCAAACCAAGAAAAAAATGTGATGAGTTTCATATGGCTAAATCAGTGGCAAAAACATAATCTTCTCTCTCTGGCAGCAAAGCAATTAAGTGGTCACCTCAACATAAAGGGCCAATGATCCATTCTATAAGCAGTTGGGAGGGGGTAGAGATGGAACAAAAATTTGGTCTCAGAGGTCTTACCATATTAATTTGGTCACTTTTAATAAAAAAAAGAAAAAACAGAAGTAATATTGCCCAAAGAAATCTTAAAGCTGAAAACCTGAGAAGCACATTTTTCTTGTTTTTGTCGTTGTTTGGCTAACTCCTCCTGGAATCACCTTTCTGGTTTGGCTGGTACTTTGTACAGAGCAATGAGGTTTCCCGTAGTGGAGTCTTTCCCTGGGCTCTGTTTGGCTCTCAGTAAGGCAGGCCTATACCTTTTCTTCTCTTCTACGGAGAGGGCAATATGCACTGAGCTGAAAAGTTACCTTCCAAAAGTGAGAAAGGAATGGATTGCTGCTTCAAAGCTGTGGAATTATTTGGAATGCTTTAAAAAATGGTTGCTACAAAACAACAAAAAGGTATTACAAAATGCATATATCACAACATGCTTTTAAAGACATTATGCATTGTGCTCACATTCCCTTAAACGTTGTTCCCAACAGCCCAGCTGGAATCTTTGGGAAGAGGAAGGGACAGTTTGGCAAAAAGAGAAACAAGGGAGGGAGCAGCGAAAGGAGAAAGCAGCCTTCCAGTTAAAGATCAGCCCTCAACTAAAGGTCAGCTTTGGGCAGGCTGGCCTCAGGCGGAGTCAGGGTCAGAGGGAGGAATAGCAGCAGGGTGGGACTGGGGTGCTCTACATCTCACTCAGGTCAAGCAGAGTCTGGTCCAGCATCATTTGGGTACAGAGTGCTCCTCTTTGGCACATTTTCAGTTTATCTTCCAAGTCATCAGTTGTCTTTTCCAGCTTGGCTACCGGTATCTCAGCAAACTCAACACAGGTCTCTGCCTCCTTGAGTTTATCAGTAAGAATAGTAATCTCTTCCTCATATTTGTCTTCTTTTTGAGAGTACTTTCCTTCAGCAGCACTCAGACACTTCAGGTTCTGGTCCATCAGTCTGATCTGCACATTCACCTCTTGGCATCGGGACTCTGCCAGCTCAGCTTGTTCCTGTGTGTTCCAAGTCTCCTTCAATGATAACCAACTTACGAGCCACCTCTTCATACTTCCTATCTGCCTATTCTGCAATGGGCTTAGCTTCTTGGAGCTGGATTTCCTGGAGTTCCATCTTTTCTTCATCTTTTAAGGCCCAGTTTTCAATAACCTTCATACCTCTCTCACTCTCATCGGCAGCTTTTTCCCCTTCTTCTAACTTTTGCAGGGCAGTGGCCAGGCGCTCCTGAGTATGGTCCAGCTCCTCCTCAACCAGCTGGATCCTATGGTCCAACAAGGCCGCCTCAGCCTGTTCCTGGGCTGCACCTTTCTCCCTCAATTTCTCACTGGAAGCACTCAGCTCTCTCCTCTCCTTGCTGCTGCAGAACCTGGATCTTGCGCTTCACCACCTCTATGGTGGTGATCCCAGCCACGGTGCCCACCCAGCTACTGCTCATGCTCCAGATCCTGCCTCCTGCAATAGGTGTTGCAGCTGCTTCTCACCATTTTATCAAGTCTTGCCTTGAACCAGTACTACCTTTGGAATTTTGTTGAGATTTAAGTCACAAGCAGCTGAAAAAGTCCTAAATAAAAGTTTAATAGTGCTAGAATATCTCATTACATCTGGGGGGGGAAAAGTGCACACAGTATATGAAAACATATTCCAAATAAACTAAAGGCCAAAGGCAAAATGTAAAAAAATAAAAGAAAACAGTATAACCATCCAGGAACAGTGGCTGATGCCTGTAATCCCAGAGGCTGAGGTGGGTGGATCACTTGAGCCCAGAGTTAAGACCAGCCTGAGCAACCCGCCTTTAAAAAAAAAAAAAAAAAAAAAAAAAAAAAAAAGTTGTGCATGGTGGCACATGCCTGTAGTACCAGCTACTTTGGAGGCTGAGGCAGGAGGATCACCCGAGCCCAGGAATTTGAGGCTGCAGTGTGCCATGATCATACCACTGCACTCTAGGCTGGGCAACAGAGTGAGACCCTGGCTTAAAACACACACACACACACACACACACACACACACGCATGCACGCACCAGCAGAGAAAGCTTTCCACCAAAGAGAAAAATCCAAAAACCACAAAACAAACATATTGATTATATAAAAATATCTACAAAGGAAAAAAATACAAGCAACAAAACTACAAAAAATATATGAAGCTAGAATAATTAACTGCAAAACATATGGCAGATAAAAGTCTGATAGTCCTAAGAAGAGATTATTTTAGGAAAACGACAGAAAATATATGAAGCTAGAATAATTAACTGCAAAACACATGGCAGATAAAAGACTGATAGTCCTAAGAAGAGGTTCTTTTAGGAAAACAAAGAGCTCATTAGAAAAAAAAATGGAAAAAGGACGTGAAGAAATGATTCATAAATCACAAATGTAAATCACCAATAAGACATATAAGAAGAAGCTCAAACATAATAGTGGTTATAAAAACGCAAACTAAATCAAGATACCATTGATTGGTCAGACTGAAAGAAATAAAATGATCCAAGTCTTAGTTAAGAGTCTTATACCAATGTCAATTTCCTGGTTTGATATTATAATATATATTTATACTTATTTATATTTTTTTGATTCAGAGTCCCATTCTGTCACCCAGGCTGGAGTGCAGTGGTGTGATCTTGGCTTACTGCAACCTCCGTCTCCCAGGTTCAAGCAATTCTCTTGCCTCAACTTCCCGAGAAGCTGGAATTAGAGGCACATACCACCAGACCCAGCTAATTTTTGTATTTTTAGTAGACAGGTTTCACCATGTTGGCTAGGCTGGTCTTGAACTCCTGATCTCAGGTGATCCACCCACCTTGGTCTCCCAAAGTACTGGGATTACAGGCGTCAGCCACTGTGCCCGGTCTGATAGTGTACTATATTTACATAAGACATTACCATTAAAGGAAGCTGGATGAAGTGTACATGAGGTACTATTTTTGCAATTTCCTGTGAGTCTATAATTATTATTATTTTTTTAACGCCAGGCATAGTGGCTCACACCTGTAATCCTGGCACTTTGGGAGGCTAAGGCGGGTGGATCACCTGAAGGTCAGGAGTTCGAGACCAGCCTGGTGAACATGGCAAACCCCATCTCTACTAAAAATATAAAATATTAGCCATATGTGGTGGTACATGCTTGTAATCCCAGCTACTTGAGAGGCTGAGGCAGGAGAATCACTTGAACCTGGAGGGCAGAGGTTGCAGGGAGCTGAGATCATGCCATTGCACTCCAGCCTGGCCTGGGCAACGAGAATGAAAATTAGTCTCAAAACAACAACACAACAAATAGATTAATAAAATCCATTGCTGACAAGATTATGGGCAAATGAGCTCTCATATAGACTACTGGGAGGACAGAAAACTGCTACCTTTTCCTACATTACTCAATTCTGCCTTAGGAAAGTAATATGGAAATATGCGTTAAAACTAAAAATATTTAGGACCACTGATGCAACAATTCCACTTGAATCTGTCCTATAAAACCAAGGCCAAAGGACTGAGAGACAAATGTGCAAGGATTTCGTCCACCATTGAAAGCATCAAAGAAAGCACTGAAGAATGATCTCAAAGTCCATTAAGAAGGGGATGTTGACCATGTAATAAAGTAACCAACAAGACAGAAATCAATAACAGCCATGTTGGCTAAAGGAATGCTAAGTTCCAAGAAGCATTTTGTTTAGTCCTTACAACAATCTATGAGGTGAACAAAATTAATACACCATTTTTACAAATGAAGAAACTATAGGTTTTCAATAGGCTGTTCAAGATCACCTTATCACTAAATGGTTAGGCCAAGATTCCAGTAACAAGAAAGAAAAAAGAAACAGAACTGGGAGAGATGATTTTTAAAAAAGAACATATAACCAAGAAAAAAATTTTTTCAATAATCTACCTGGTAAATTTACCCCAATTAATGGTATTCAGTTCCAATATTAAGTACCTACTCTGTTTAGGGCAGTAAACTAGGATCTGTGGATCCAAAGAGGGAAGTTTTCTTAGCTCAGAATCAAATAGAGAAGATAGACAAGGGAGCAAGCAGCCACACCACACTGTGACCAGTGCTATTAATACGGACACAAGTCCACAGTGCCTGATCTAAAACACTTAGGCCAAATGTTTCAGACATAAGAATTTTTTTTTATTTGAAAAAGGTAACATGATATGCCATAAATTATATAACACTGCCATGGAGATTAGGGGCAGCATCCCATAACCAAATGAAACGAAACATTAATACTCACACTAAGTGGGATAAACAGTCTCATGGCACTTCAAGGGAACTGTTGTTGTCAACAAGTTTGGTGCTAAATGAACAAGGAAACTTTGTTTTTCAAGCACTGGGGATACTGTAATTACCGATAAGAGACTGCAACAAAGTGTGTACATAAAGTGCTTTAAATCAGAGGGAAAAAAACAATCTAGTCTAGGCTTAAGTACTTAGAACAACAAATAATAACAAAACAGTCCTTAAAGTAAAACCTATAAAATGAAAGTAAATGGCACACACATCTGGTAAAAAAATATGGCAAAAATAACCATAAACTGTCATAATATTTTCCTTGCAAATCTGGATAAAATTTTCTTTCAAGGAAACAAGAAAGCTTTGAAACACCCAAAAGATATACAGGACACAGTACCATTTAAAACAAAATTAAGACATGATCTCAGGAAAATACAGAAAGTTAAAGAATCCTGGCAGAGTTTATTTTAATGAATAATAAAGCAATAGCAGAGAAGCAACACAGGACACACTACCCATGATGGCTAAAATATATCTTCATGGGAAGGTAGAGCTCCAGAATTCCGTAATTAAATAAAAACGACTGAATGACTTGAAGAAATAAGACACCATCCGCATGGGTAATAAAACCATACTACTGAGATCAATACCAACTTAAAAATACAAGTAAATTCAATAGGGTAAGTACTAACACTTGAAGCACCTTAAAGATTATGTAACTATCACGAAACAAGTCAGATTCTAATTTTTCTTGTCCATGCTCAAGAGATTGTGGTTGAAGAGGTAGGGGTTCTTTCAAGGAAATGGACAAGTGCAATGCTATTATAATTTTATGCTGTAAGCATATCAGCAAACATACTAATATGTTTCATACATAAGGCCCAAAGAACTAAAGTGACTTTGATCATATTGCCAATGGCCCTTTTAGTTATCTATGTAAAAATAAGATTAGTAGCTAGTAGGGCTAAGAGGCCAGAAGTCAATAATCGCACTGCTTAGATGAAGCAAATATAGCAACTAATGAAAGGAGTCATCACTGCATGATGAAAGAGCCAGATTTAACAATTCATACCAGTCTGAATACAGATGAGTGTATAGCCTGGCCAAGTCATTTTAAATACCCTTAATTTACTCATCTGCAAAATAGGGAATACTGCCTACTGTATAACTCAATTGTGCAGACAGATCACAGATAATGTACATATAAAGTGTATGTCACAGGGTCAAGATTCAGTAACTACCACAGTTACTTTACCAACTTACTCTCCTACCCTAATCTGGTAGTGTTCCAGTGTTCCCTATCTCGAGTGATAGTAATCTCACCCTCACACACAAATATTCTCCACTTTGAAGCCAGAGTAACCTTTTATATATACATATGATCATACCACCCCTGTCCAGTTTAAAATTCATCCATAATATCATAATGTTCTTAGGATAAAGTACAAAATTATCAAAATAATCTGACCCTGACCATTCTGCTACACACTCTCTCTGCCACCCTACTCTACCTTTCTTTTCATTTGGTAATTTAAAATTCTTCTGACTACTTGGCCTAACACTTCTGCTTGCAATGATACCCTCACCTCTTTTTCTCCTAGCAACCTCCAATTCAACTTTTCAGGTTTCAGCCTTAATGTCTCTTGCTAAAAGAAGCCACTTCTATGTTCTACAGAATCCTATACTTCTCTGAAACAAATATTTACAACTACATATACTGTAAGGAAAAAATCTGACTCAATTGTGAGCCGCCAGCCAGACTCAGTGATGAGTGATTTTATTTAATGTCTCTGAAGAGTAGAATCTCTCCTCTTCCATAACTGAACCCAAAATATCCAACTCTAGGGCCTGTGACCAGTCATCTTGCAATTATGATGGATGAGCCTACTGAGAATGGAACAAAATTGAAGAAGCAGAGTTGAGACACTGATGAAACTGACTGGAGCACTGGGATAAAGTTTTGCCTATTTTTTTTTCACTTGCATTAAATAATGAATTTCCTTCAGTGTTTAAGCCGGTTTACATTGTGTTTCCTGCCATTTACAGATACAAAGCACCTACATAAAAGCATTCCAATTTAGAGATTATGAAAAGGAAACAGAAGAATAAAGAAGAATATTCACAGGTAAACCACTCTCTTCTGTTAATGAGAAAAGATTATCCTTATGAATCAATAATGTATATTACATGATAATGCAAGAGGCAAAATGCTACCCAAATCTGTACATATTAACCCCAAGTACTCAGATACTCAGAAAAATCTAAATGTTTCCTAAATCTTGGTGGGGCATGGTGACTCACACCTATAATCCCAGCACTTTGGAAGACTGAGGTGGGCAGATTACTTGAATCTGAGAGGCGGAGGTTACAGTGAACCAATGCACTTCAGCCTGCGTGACATACCAAGCCTCCATCTCAAAAAAAAAAAAAAAGAAAGAA